CCTGCTGAAATCAGCGGATGCTGCGCTCATTCAGCACGCGGCGGTACTGGGCCAGGTTCTGAGTTTCCTGCATTGAACCCGCAGTCTAGAGTGCGTTCCCCCAGCTTGTCTTCTTTAGTCCTTTCTCCCTTGCCTGCGTCTCCATGATGCAAGATGCCGATTGCAGCTGAAATCAATGCAAATAATAGAGGCTGCCCTGCACCTTTCAGGCCCTTTGTGGGTTCTGCAGTCACTACATTGAGCTGCTGTGGTTTTCTTTTACTTGCTATGAGAGCAGTTTCCTGAGCTATTACAAGCATGTTGCTGTGCAGAAGTGCTGAACTCACCTTGCTTCCACTTTCTGTAACAATCAATGAAAGGTTAACAGGGGGTGGGAGGGAATAACTAATGCAGGTCATGTAACAACTGAATTACCCCTCTTAGCAGTCTCCCTGCCTCCCCCTTCCCATCTTGCCTTCTGACACATATAGTGTGTATTGCTTCTAACATCAGCTTCTCGTACATGCATGCATCAGCAGAGTGGCTGCCTTTTCCCCCCGAAGAAACCACAGAGCAGGGAACAAAGCCCTAAATGTACTATGAGAAAAGCAGTTGCTGGGCCTGAACTGTTTTTGATCTTGCCGGTTCACAGAGAACCCCAAAGCTGCTTTTCTGTTTTTTTTGCAAAGAGATCACGCTACCTATGGCTCCGTGACAAGTGATCACCCTGGTATGAACAGTAGCTCAGTCGACAGGCTACTTAATGGCGCGAGCTATTAGTCACCTGCGTAGGAACAGAGATAACCAGTGCAGGTTGAAGTCTTGGTCTGCTGCATCTTAAAGAGCGTATGCCCACATTTCTCCATTTGTTTCCCTGCTTATACCTATTGCAATCTGGCCGATGAAATATGGATGCTAAATAAAACCATGAAGTTATTTTTCCGAGTCCTCAAATTTCTAAATAGTAATAGAGCCGCTTTTTTCAGTATTCTCTCAGTTCTCTGAAGCAAGAGCAAGCTAAGAAATATGTTGAGGGCTTGGTTGATGTCACAGCTTTCTGGTTCACAAACAATGAAGTGCATGGAACTGAACCGTTTTTTAACTTTCAGCTCCCATTTTGGTGGAAAAAGAGTCAGCATTTTGCCAGATGTAAGGAGACGGATGCTTTTCTTTCTAAGTACGCAGAGGGAGCATCTAAAAGAAATAGATCAGCTAATTGAAGAATCGTATGATAGGATCCTGTCTCAAATGGGGGGGGCTTCAGTGCTGGAGAGGCTCCAAGCAGCACTTCACCCAGCCACACACATCTACACTAAGAGGATAAAACCCTTCTTAAATGAAAAGGCTTCAGACCCCACTTTTAATAAGATGAAAAGGAGCCACGGGCTCGTATTTCCATAGTAGGTTGCTAAGAACGTGCCCTTGACCAGCTGCAGCGCATGATGCCCGTTCAGCTTCTGTTTGCGCAGACGAGGATCTACTTGCCTCTGCCACTCCTATATACTAGCTTCAAAGACTGCGCCCCTGTTAGAGGTTTATGGCCTGAGCCGGAGTTCATTAAAATCAATGGGAGCCTTTCCTTGAGCCCTAGAAAAATCAACGCAGGCCTGGCTGGTTTTTTACCAGGACTGGTGGGTGCAGGAAAGGAGAGGAGCAGCTCGCTGATGCTCGCCGTCTTACAGCCTGTTCTCTCTCTCTCTGGCACTCTGGCTGCTAGACTTGCAAATGAGCATTAGGTTAAGTGGTGAGGAGACTGATTCATTACACCAAGGAAACACTATATTACTGCGCATCCCTTATGGGATGCTCTGTCTGTGCCTTAATCTGCTCTATCTAGCCAGCTCACCTTCTTTCCTTTAGCAAAGTCTTAACGACAAAGCCACCCCTCAAATGGAGAGGTCTAATTGCATAGCACATTACTAAGCTCATCACACATACAAAGCTTGGCAAATCCATTAGTGGTTTTCTAATCGGGGAGCAAGTTGAAGGGGGATGAAATGCAGGGTAGACGGAGCATCAAGCAGCAAATTTTTTAATAACTGCTAGCAGATCTAATGTGTTTATGTTCAGTGATGCTTCCCCCCCCAACCCCTGTTAATCCTGAAATATTACTGCCATCTGGAACTGAACATGCAGCAGGGAAAACATGTGTCATAAATTTGCCAGAGATACAACAGGTAGAGCATTTGTCAGTGCTCTGCAAAGCAGGGTCATCTGCGCTCTGCAGCCTGATGGGTTGCAGCAGCCGCTTCCTCCAAGCCCGAGGGTCAGGCCCCGCATGCCCCGCAGCCTCCTTGGGCTGCTTCTGCGGTGCCCCGACTGTGAAACAAATGGCAGCGGGCCACGCGAGAGGAGGGAGTTGTCATTGGCACTTCCCTGTGCCCGGAGGGCTGAGCACGGCAAGATGTATTGCCTGAGAATAAATGTGCACCGGTCAAACCTGTGCCCGGGTTGTCCCTGCGAGACGCTTGGGAGTTGCTGGTTGCCAGCAGTCCTCAACCAGAAGGAAGAATTACAGCCCACTAGCGTTGCACTCCCATGGCAGCTACAGAAACTGGGTGGCGCGGGGCGATATGATCGGGCTCCATAGTTTGCAACCGCTTCTCAAGCTGCGCATTGCAAACTTCCTCGAAGGTGATGCTGTAGGGGAAAAAAAAGCTGCCTGTTTAAAACTGCTTTGTGAAAGGTCACCTTCATGCATGAGAGGCCTACAGTTTAACGCAGGGCATCAACTAACATCCTCGCTGTTTTAAAGAACAAAAAATCCAAAATATTTCCATCCAGTGCCCATGCCCTTCCAAAATGCAGTCACTTCCCTGGGAATCCTCAGTTCCCTGGAGCTGTTGCTCTTCACATAGACACGCCAGCTGATCCAGCAGGTCAGAAATGTAGAAGATTAGGTACAATTCAGAGGCTTCACACGGGTTCACAGAGTTGAGGGCTGGACGGGATCTCATGAGATCATCGGGTCCAGCAGCCCTGCTCTGAAGAGGACAAACATGCTTGGGGAGCCAATCAATGACTCTGGCATGTTTTATTTCAGTGAAAATGGTCTTTTAAAAACATTTTTTAATGTAGTATAAGAGTGGTGAAGTAGCTGCAATGTTCCAGAAATTATGCAAGAAGCAAGAATTCCTCAGGGTGATTTCTCTTACTGGGCCAACTATGGCGTTAGGGTAAAGTTAGATGTTTAACTTTATCCTGACTCCATAGTTAGTCCAATACAAGAGACCACCCTAAGAAATCTTTGGCTCTTGCATTTTTTTTTTTTAATTAACAAACTCCAGTGTTTATTTATCAACTGGCTCATTGTAGGAATAAATCGCTGGCAACCACAGCTCCAAATCAGACAGTTATCATAAAGCTGTGCGTGCATGCGGTCCATAGGCATAAACAAAAGCTGTGTGTGAAAAGACCTGAATGCTAAGTGCTACAGTTTGCTTATTTATGTGGCGGAGTTTAAATTCAGCTTTAAACACTTTCCAAAACTAGCAGCAAATCTCTTGCCATAATAGGCAGCTCTAATTAATGTGCCCAGAGTCCCCGAGATGAAAGTGCATATTTGATTATTTTCTTGTTTTGTTTAGTACTGCAGCTAAAAGCAAAGCATCCTTTCTAGTAGCTGCATACCCGGGAATAAGGGGGGACAGATTTTTAGAGCGAGAGACTGAGACTTCTCTGCTTTATTCTTAGTGGCGTGACCATGGGGCTAGTTGCTGCTTAGCCATCCTGCTCCTCTGCTCCTCAGTCAGTAAAATGAGATTAATGGTCTATTGCAGAAGGCTCTTCTGAGGGTTTGAAAGCCTAGCTTTGAAATCCTTGGATGCAGTATGCTGTACCAATGCAGAGAAATAGCGCTAATGATGATTCTGCTTCTGACCTGCATTAAAGCACTCTTGTACCTGTCAGGGTTTAGAGGATAGCATAGATACACATTTTGCCCAGAGTTTTTCTTTCTTTCTTTCTTTCTTTTTTTTTTTTTTTAAAGAAGAGAAAATGTTCTTCCTGGAGACCTCTCCCAAGAGAAAAGGCCTTTTCATTGGCTTTTCCAAAGGGTTGTCTTAATCTGTTCCAATGTGCTGGGTTTATAATGAGCTGCACAGCTGGTGTCCCAGTAACTAATTGAATAATCCCAAATTGGTGCCTTTTGGGAATGCCCAAGACAGAGCTGCCTTGGTTCTGCTTCAGGAAGAGTCAGCAGAGGAATTTGATAGTCTCTCTGGAGTGATTTTGGTCTGACAAGGGGGACTGCAGCATTGCAGTCCTCTCTCCAGACTGAGATTCAGTACATTTTTGGGCAGTGACCACTTGTGTCTAATGCCAAATATGCCCTGGACGCTTTTGACGGATGAAGTCTTCAGCACTAATGCTTTGCTTGTAGGTGTATTGTATTGGACAATGCTTTGCTTGTCAGTGTATTGTACTGGAGTCCAGGTTACTTTTGTATTGCCTTTGTGGCCACAGGACAATAGCAGCCACTTTTCTGTCCGTGGATACAGTTAACTGTAGAAGTTTTGGGTTGACGGCTTGCTGGGGAGGGAGAGCTGTTGTGACCTTGACTTACTAGCCAGCTTTTGTATTGCTTGTTTTTTTTTTGCTGTTGGGATTCTGTTTAACGTGTGGTGCTTTTTGTCCTTTTGTTCTCTTAGAGATCCGTGCCCAACTCATAGAGCAGCTGAAATGCCTTGACCAGCAATGCGAGCTCCGGGTCCAGTTGCTGCAGGACCTGCAGGATTTCTTCCGCAAGAAGGCAGAGATCGAGACGGATTACTCGAGGAACCTGGAGAAGCTGGCTGAGAGGTTCCTGGCTAAAACGAGGAGCACCAAAGACCAGCAATTCAAGTACGGTGTTCAAGAGCTCCTTCTGGAGGCTGAGGGGTTGCACCCTGGGGTGGGAGGAGAGAGCTGAAATATTGAATGTGGGGGCCAGTGTTTTACTATACATGTTGGGAGAAAGCATTCTTTCTCCCAAGCTGTGGCATCTGCGCTACAAACGTAGACCTTATTTTGCTTCTGAACGATAACCTCTTAATTGGCACAGTACGAATTATCCTGGTGGACTGTCACCCAAGAGGAAGGGAATGAGGGAATAGGTACGATCCAGAGAGAATCATTTAACTGGGGAGAGATGCATGTAGAGTCGGATGGTTTTTGATCAGAGATGATGCTGTGGGTGGTGGTAGGGACTCTTTTCTATATTTGTGTGCCTTTTCCCTGGCTCTTGAGGGAGTGATTTTTCCTAGTCCAGTGATTTATTGGGCCGAAACAATACAGCACAGCTCAAAACAACTTTCAGAAAAATATTTGTTTCTGCAGTACTTGGACAGCCACGATCTGGGGTTTCAAATGGATCCAGTTCTGCAAAGCGTTTGTGGTACCCAGCTATTGACACGATAGGCATAGTTACAAATCTCTTAACTAGCAGATGCTTGTCTTATAATGTTACCTCCATTCATCCAGCGATGCTTTCACATGATCTCGGTCAGTTCGTAAAAATGATGCTTCTGCACAGGTTAGGTTGGGCTCATGTGCAACTCTTTACACACATCTCCCTAGCTTATAATGATACTTTCTGATGGCCTCAGGAGGTTGTCTTTGGCTGTTGCTTTTCCTATCCCTTTCCCCCCCACCCTTTATCCTTACCGTTCTGGCCACTTAAATAAGGTTAAACAGCATGTGTTGCAAATATGTTTGGCATGACAAATCTCTCGTTTTTCTTCCCCTCCCTCCCTCAAGGCATGAATTTATACTTGTTAACTGTGGTTTAGGCCGGGGTATGTATATACTGACTGAGTATGCATGCATACACACATGCATGTGCACGCACAAAGTTTGTTTAATATAGAGAGGCTTAATGTTTGGAGACCAAGATGGGGCTAGATTGCCAGAACAAAGCTCTGACTCTCTTCCCTGGAGCTCTTGCAGCTGATATCCCAACAATGCATGAAGCTTGTCAAGTTTTGTTGTCAGGATAGCAGCTGTGGTGGCAATTCCAGGCAAAAGCAGCCTTGGGATATGAATCATTTCAGCTTTGGACAGATTAGCTTGTCCTCCGCTGATCAGATCCATCTGGACTTGCCTCCACCCAAAATGCAATTTATTTTAATTTCTAGCTGTGTTTTGAATCAGAGCAATATCGTTATCAGGGTGGTTTTCATTTTTTTTTTTCTTATTTTTTATTACTGTGTTTGAGGGAACATGGTGGTGGAGCAGCAGCTTTCCTTTTTTGCTAGAAATCCTTTGCCTCAAAGCCATTAAATAGTCACCCTTTTGACTTCTGTTTTTATACAGCTTTGATGCGATTCACCTTTTGTTCTCTGCCAAACTAGTACTTAATACAAATATTCTCATTAAAGTGTGCACGCTGCACTGCATCACCTGCGAAGCCTGACCCCTAGGCAGAGCTATTAAACCGAGATTGCGGGAGAATTCTTTATAATGCAGTAATTGTGTTGCAAACATTTTTCCCCCCTTGCCCTCCTTTCCAGCAGTAGTGAAGGCCTTTTTAAAAACTAAGCTGTTCACATTGTGCAGGCACCACTAAAACAGGACTGAAGAAATCATCTCTTGAACGCTTGAGTATCTGTGTGGCTTCAATTGGGCCATTTTTGCTATTTTTTCCAGTAAAATTTGAAAAGATAAACTTATGTTAAGGGAAGACATGAAAATGCCAAATGGAAAAACTCTTGCATTGGGGTTTTTTTAGTAACGGATGGTGGGGGGTGCTTTCTTCCTGTTCAGAGGGCTTAGATGGGATCTTGAGTATTGTTGCCGCTAGTATAGTCGTCTCCAAAGACGTGGCACACTATGTGTTAGTTAATCAGGTGTTGGGTAGGACATTGCAATAAATAACTTTTGGGTTTCTGTTCGTGTAACTTCTTTTATAAAATAGAGCTTCATTTTGCACTTCTGCTAGCTTATGAAAAATAAGAACAGCTTTGCCCAGTGGCAGAGGGATTGAGAAGCCCCAGTGAGTTTGGCATGCAGCCATTGTAAGTCAGACAGGCATGAGACATATTCAGTCATGTTTCCGTAGTAGATGCCCATCCTCTTCCAGGTGCAGCTCTAGGCGTTTCCCTGAATGATCAGGAGCCCTATGCCCCGAGACGGCTTTATCACTATGCTCTATAGCCATTGCTAAGACTGGCTGGAGCAATCCTGTCGGCCGTTCCTCAAACGCACCTTTCTCACGCCACCAAAAAAAGGATTTTCAAATTGGAAAGTCCTTTTGCATTTGGAATATGCTCCTTCAATTAGTTTGGAGTCCAGATTTGAGAGTGGTCACGCTCTTAGGGTTATTTTTTTTCTCTCTTTGCCTCTAACAAAGCTAGTCAGGTCCTGGATAGATCTCTGGTCACAGGGGTAGTAATGGCTTTGAAGACATTTATTTTCTGTTGCTCTGTTTGTAACTTGTTTGGTCATTTTAAGTCTTGCAGGTGCTAAAGCAAGTAATGCTTAAAAATGAACAGCTAAGTAAGAAAGCAACCTATTGCTTGGTGGGACAGCGTACCGTGTCACCATACTGAAGGCTAGCAGAAGATTGGAGGGGCTCAAGCATGACTGTAAATCTTGAGCTGGGTTTCCCCAAACCGTGGCATACTAGGGTCTAATGCCATTCGTGAGCTTTGTACAGCTCCCTTGTGAGCATTGCCTGTTGTAAGAGTTGTGGGACAGGCCTAGATGCAATGGAGATGTACCCTGAGCTGCAGGCGCTGTTTGCAACGTAGCCAGATTATAGCTGTGTCTGTGAGAGCATGTGGTCTCCCATTCCTTGAACGGGGCGGGGAATGAGGTGGGGTTAGCCACTTACCCACTGTGGTTCTTGTGAGGAGCAAGGGAGCACTTTGGTCTCTGCAAACTTAAAACACAGCCTTTGCGAAAGGGAACAGTTTAAACAGATGCGGCACCTACTGTTTTTCAGGCAAATGTATGGGTTTTTAGGTAACCTAGAAGTCTTCTAGAAATGAGTGTTAAAATGCAGCAGAAGTGCCTTTTAGGAAGGGTTTGAAGGAGGAAAGAGGTGGCTGCAGCTGCTCCAGACGTACAGGGCAGCCCAAATAGTAAGGGTAGTAAAAGAAATGAGAGTGGGGATGTGTTCAGGAGTGAATCATCCAGCAAAAAAACCCACCGTGGAGTGAATAAGGCAAAGTGACTCAGGGGCATTTTATGGGGGGAAGGAGTTAGCAGGAGACCCAAGGAAGGGGCTGTGCTAGCAGCAGCCTTTGGAGACGGGGGTCCACTCCCTGCGGGATCTTCTTTGCTTGCTGGAGTGAGGTGCGATATGTGGGGTCTCCTGAAATGACACTGCGGGATAGTTTTGACATCCCATTACCATATTGCACCTTTCCACATGCACAGTGCAACATAAAATATCAATTTTTCTGGGAGCAGAGTTTGTCCTGTTGGACATTGAGAAATGGTGAACTTCTGCGAGAGACAAACCTCTTGTCTCCCTTGGACAAAGAGGCCTGATATTTTTTTTTTCCCCCTTATCCTTCTTAGAAGGACCCCTATGTCTCCAAGATTTCTCGTGTCAAATGTGCCTGTAGTTAATATTTAATGGACTGCTATTGTTACTTGGCCATCTGAGTGAATGCTTTGTAGACATAAGCTGGATAGTTATGGTTGAGTTCAGATCCTAATTACTTATCACAAGCGCAATTTGCTCCTGAGCAGAAGAGGAGGGAACTCAGCCAATATGTCCTTTTTTTTTTTTTTTTGCAAATTTTCAAGTCGCATTCAAACCTGAAGCTTCTTAATAGACCAGCTGAGCAAAGCCAGCTGTCAGCATGTGATCCCCGTGGACTTCTCTGGTATTGCATGACTTTACAGGACACGCACAGCCCTGTGGCTACTCTGTAATTGGGTGGCCGCGACCCTATAAATATACGATAATAACACATTCCTTTGGATAATGTGGTAATTATGTTGGATGGTACCATGTCATTCGGTGGCTGGTTACCATGTCACTTGCAGTTTTTAGGTCTCATATGATACTGGAGAAGAGGACATTTGTCAGGCCGTTACCCTGTAATTTGCATCTACTTTCATAGTCAATAGCTAGCATGCAAGTGCCAAGTTATTCCGAGTGTGTTCAGTTAGGGGAATGCTGTCGAGGACAAAGGGCCCAAAGTCTGCCCCTTGAAATGGAAATTATTTCCCCTACCAGCTATTGCGGATCACAAGAACACGGCTGCAGAGAAACCAGTCCTTTGAGCTACAGGCTTTGGTGAGACGGCCACATCTTCCAAAAAAGAAACCCATGACGGTGTGTTTGTGGCAATGGGATGGGGTTTTGAAGTTGCTGTCCTTGTTCTCTTGGTGTTGGCTCCCTGATCACAAACTATGCTTAGGCAATGATGGTGTTGAAAGAGGGTGCTAGTATTTTGTAGAGGGGTGTGTGTGTGTGTGTGTGTGTGTGTGTGTGTGTATATATATATATATATATATATATATATATATATAAAAAACAAGGTTCCCTAGAATATATCAGAGCCCTACAAGAGTGAGTGAATGGTGTCCCCGTTTTACAGCCTGGGAAGTTGGGGGACAGGTGATTTTTAACCCTGACCAAGGTGACGTGCAAGTTGATGACAAAATTGGAATGAACTCTGTTTCTCTTTTAACATTATGCCTTGTCGCTTAGAGCTGCTGATCCTGATTTTGCACCTCTTTAAAACAGGGGTTTCAGTTAAGCATATTGCATCTGGACAATATTGGTAGCAGAGAGGAATTGCCCCGCGCCCTCTCTGGTGCCTTCTGCTTGATATTTCTTTGGAAGATGTAGAGTTCAGAAGAAACCTAAGAGCGGGTTTCCCCCCAAAGCCCAGTTTCTCTAACTG